CTATGAAAAACGACATTCTTTTCTTACCAACCTAATAGTTCTCTCCCACTGACAGTCTTCAAGCAATAAGAAGAGTTTTGACATATTTGGGTATGATTGGTGGGTTGTGCACAAAATTACCTTTGTGAGTTTTCGGTTCATATGTAGTAAAATACCACTACAGCAAAATCTTGCTTAGTCAGCGGAAGCCTCAATCTCATTACATATGGACATCACGAGAAGATTTCAAAAAATCTCTCGGTAGATATTGAAGCACTTTTTGCCCAACTGCGAATTTAGACAAAGTAATCGATGCTTATCAAACTACCAGTCATAGAAAAAATTAATGTACTAGAGCGGCTTTCGCGAGTCCAAACTGATGTCAATCAGAAGACGTGACACAGCCTTAGATTTGCCATTTACGCCTGACAATACTGAGCTTAGACATCGAACATTGATGAAATGGAAGAATTCGCAAAAACATCCGTATGTGTCCATGCTGCTCTTCTCCTAGCATACGAAAGCAATCATATACGGCAAAACTACCTACCTTTTCCAGTACACATATGCTGAATACCAAGTTGCCATTTGAGTTGATCTTCGCTGAGAGCTGTTGATTTGTCGATTTTGTTGCCGAGAATAAGAATTGGAGCTCCAGCAACCTGCAATCAGTAGCATTCTACACTAAAGAACAAAAACATGCGCACTCAGCTATCTGGACTTGTTTTTATGTCGCAAACGCCTCTTAGGCTTAGTCTTATCAATATGTACCTGCTCGTCTCTGATAAGAGATTCCAACTCCGTCCTGCTCTCTGGAATGCGCTCTATATCTGCGCAATCAACAAGAAAAACAACCGCATCTACGGCAGGGAAATAGTCTTTCCATACACGACGAGCTGAACATTTTAACGATTACGTGAAAACAAATTGTAATAATGGAACTATTTACGGCAGTACAGAAGAAGCTCACCTTGTGCGTGACCACCGAGATCAAATGTAGTAAATCGGATACCGCCTAATGTGAGCTCTTCCGATGCTGGAAAATGTCAGTTATGTTGCGGGTAAACTGTGAAATCTTTTTTCCACAATTAGATCATGTACAGAGTTACCACCTTCACAAAGTTACGTCAGTAATGGTAGGCGTTCACTGAAATCGACCTGAAATTTTTTTAAGGGG